TGGGCACGAACTGCCTTGCTACCTTCGATCACATGGTATACGTCACCGCACCTGTCATGACGTATAATTATCCTCGCTCTCTTTTCTGTTACATGCTGCAGAGAACGGACGCGTCTCTGTTAGCTCCGTCATTATTGTATATTGTATGTAATAACTGCGGGCACTAATAAATAGCGGATAATTTTACCATAGTGTTTTCTCTGTTCCGCCATCACTAGAGTAACAGTAGATAATATAGAGAAACGCTATAGTTGTTTACCTCGTAAATTTTAAATACATACACATGCGGACAGGGCTGGACTCTTTTTTTTTTTTTTACTAAATCGGTATGCGTAATCCGTGACATTTCTTTCTATATTGTGTATTCTTTCTCGATACATTGTACACATTTACTGTATCCTAAAAGACATCTTTCAAACCTCCCGCATTTCCTCAGAGGTGTATACATGACATGTAGTATTACACACACATAGATTTGAATATAGCCGCTATATTCATGTAGAACATAAATGGTTAATTAAAATATAGCCTCCTCCATTAATACATGTAATAAATTAATTAGATATCTGTACGCCTCTCTCACTACTGTTCGCATAGGCATCGGAACCGGGGGGAGCCTCCTTTCTTAATTGCAAATTATATACATAATGTAGGCATTGGAATTTACCTATTTCTGTTGGTTTAGCCCACCCACCCCCCATTTCAAATAGCCCCCCTTTCATTTTGCTTCCGACGCCTATGGTACACACACTTGTGTTAATATTTTTTTCTTTTCTTTCTGCATACGAGATCATGAGGGGGAGGGGCTGGCAGATTTTAGAAATAAATACTTGCAGATCAGTGATCTCTCCTCCCACGAATTAGAGTTTTTAAATTTTGTTAGACTTTTCAATAAAGAGGAAAATAAATAAATGATCTGTCCTTCATCTTATTGATCGGAAATAAATATTTATCAGTCCTTTATTGGCATGAAAATGAAAAAAAATTGACTTGGAAACATAGAACCTCAACTTCAGATCTTTGGTTGTCCAAATAGAGTTTCAGGCTTAAAGAATGAATAAATAAAAAAAGCAAACCTGACATTTACAACAGTTATTGATAGAATATTTTCTAAAAAAAATTCTGAGTTTCACCTTTACCAAAAGGAAAAAGATTATATAGAACATGCATACTTTAAAAATGTGAAATGCTTTAGAAGTATACATACCCTGTGAAGAAATGATGCTTATTTTATTTATTCATTCTTTAAGCATGAAACGCTATTTGGACGGCTACAATGAAAAAAGTATTATATAAATACTTATAATGTACATGTATTCTAACAAAAAATGATTTTTTTTTAAATTAATTTAGAAATTCTAGAAAATTACAATCAAAGATCTGAAGTTGAGGTGCTATGTTTTCAACATAATGATACTGATAATTTTTTAAAATTGTGTTGCATGTTTGTATGTCAAAAGACATCATTGCTTGTTTAGGACTAGTCACTAGTGAATCATTGACTGAAACAATGAAAACATCTCATTTAATTTGTGTTATTGATGACCACCATTACTACACATATTGTGTCAATAAAATGAGCTATTTGACAAGAACTCAGTGTATATTTAGTGCAGTAAAATTTTAATAATTCTAAAAAGTGTGCAACTTAGTAGGGGGGGGGGGTTACACACAAGGCAAAGCATTACAATATTTCACTGACTTTGATAAAAAATACATCTAAATAAACATGCACATACTCGGAGTTTTTCTTTGATGTTGATAAAAGCATGTGTGCATATTGTAGATCGATACATGTATCTACATATGCGCATACATACCTGCTGGCCTGGAATATTACAGTGATGGATCTGCGGAGCTGGTGCAAATCGTCTCAGTTTTCCGAAATAATGTCCTCATATTCTCGTAAAAGGGAGAAGAATTGCCTTGTTTCTTATTTTATCCCTATTTTCTTTAAGGATTGTGTGGTTATTGCATTTAAATCCACTGCAAATCACAGCTGATGTCGCCATGTTTTTAGATGTAAACAACATTCCGTGTCACTGAGTGCAAGCGCTTGGCTGAAGCCGAATGCAGACAAACGACACATTAAAAAGAGATTTTTTTAAAGACATACTATTTTACATACGAGAAAATCACTAATTCTTTTCCATTTTAACATGAAAATATTGCTGTTTATTACAAAGTCTTGCAAATATAGGTAAATAGTTATTTTGACCACTATTTCCTTATATGGATCAATCAGGGTGGAGCAACCGTCATGACGTCATACCTCATTATGACCTCATTACCATATTTTTTTCATGTGTTACCTTAATTGTACTGCCTTTTGCTGTACAGGAGAAGAATTAAATTAATCCAAATGTTTTGAGCCAGAAGTGATCATCACTTTTTAGAATATTTTATGGTGTATTTCTAAAGGCTTTTAACCCCAGCTGTGTGTTCACTATCAAATCATTTTTTAAAGCCTCACGTGTCGGACAACGAGCTATATAGCAGCAAGTTAGTAACTCTCTTCTTTTTTTAAATTACTGAATGCACTGTTTGTGGCTGAAAACATTTGTTTATAAGGAAAAGTTTTCTTATAATCTTGTCAGTTTTGCCTTGGTAAGGCAAGACTACACTACAAGGTCGTTGAGAATAGAAGTGAGATACCTTTATTTGGCAATTACTTTAAAAGAGGAAAGTTTGACGAAGAGGAACAAATGACGATTTTGACGAATGACTATCTCGTCAATGTTTTCTCTCGTCATTTTTTTTTTATTCATTGTCGTTCCCCGGTGTACATGCTTAAGGTATATAGTGTAATAATGCATCGTTGTTTACCTCATATTATGCGAATGCTGTTTTTATATGAAAAAAAACAACATGTATTTGTAATGATCCTCTAATGAAACTAATGTCCAAATAACTGTTCAAAGGGTGATCAAAAGGATCAAGAACAATTAATCTCGTATATATTAATTTTTTTAAAATATCATATGTAATAAAACGTTTCGCCCCATGTCTATGGCGTTACAATGTGACATTGACGTCAATATGTAGGTTTGTGGCAACGCACTTTGAAAAAATTACGCACTTTGAAAAAAATTTTCAAAGTGCGTTAAAATTGGGACAAAATCAACGCACTTTGTAAAAATTTTTCAAAGTGCGTTAAATTTTGAACCAACTCAACGCACTTTGAAAAAATTTTTCAAAATGCGTTAAGAGTCTACATCAGTATATTTTACCATGGAGACACTTAACGCACTTTGAAAAAAATCATATTTTAGTCATTATCTTTCAAAAAACTAAGCCTAACCCGAACCTCAAAAATGAATTGATTTTACTCCCGTCGAAAAGAGGAGAAGAGGGGTATAAGATACCTCAGTCCAAATCTGTATGTTTCCAATACGTGTCGGTAAAAAACATGGGAGGGGAGCAATAAACCTAAAAAGGGTACGCTGCATTTTCAATGCTTATACGATGTATATATATCTTTCCAAAATAAGTGGGAGGCTTAGCCCCCATCCCCTCCTCTGGCCCTACGCCCAGTCTCGATGTCTATGCTATACTCAAAACATTCATATAATTATGTATTTACCTAACTGGTATGACGTTGAAAACTTTCAATAATAAATGAGTTAATTAAAACAGATGAAAACTAGCTTGCTTGAAGCTGTCCTCTGTTAGTGCCACCTATACACCTTTACATCTACTTATCAAAGACTAGAATTTAAAAAAAAAAAGAAGAAACGAATTAATGAACTTAAAAAATCGTCACTCTTTTTTTCAAGTCCCTTTAATTTTCCCTTTTATTTTATCAAAACCTTTAATATTTAAAACGTCAATATCTCAGGTTCTACAGTGACTTTACCATAGAAAAGTTATCAAACCAGGATCTGTTATTTATCATACCGATTACTTGAAGGAATATTGATCAATCTTAACATTTTTTTTTCAAAGTGCGTTAATATGGTCGATATTAACGCACTTTGAAAAAAAATTATTTTTTTTCAAAGTGCGTTAGCTTGGTCCCAAATTTTAACGCACTTTGAAAAAATTTTTCAAAGTGCGTAATTTTTCAAAGTGCGTTGTAACATAGGTTACTTGTGACAAGAAAATGGTGAACCCTGTCATATTTCCGCCTGTAAAGTTAAACGTATAACTTAAAAATCCTTTTGCAGAAGCTTATAATAATTTGTATTGAATTTATAAAGAAAATTCCCAGAAGTTTTGTCATCGATTGTTTAGGTTAAGGAAGGGATATGTTTAACAAAGATGTTCGTTATAACACACACTGAATCCAAGCTGAGGAAGAGATGTGTCATTTGTTAAGCAATTTCATATGAAAGATCGCCAACTTACAATATCAGATATGATAAAAGGAAGTCACTCGTACCTTATCAATATTAGATAAACGACACTCCAAAGACAGAGGACTTTTAATGGTCACAATACTTATTCTGGAAAATGATATTTTAATCCACACATACTTTGCCGAGATTTGCTCAGTTTTAACAAATGGATTGATTTTGTTCTTTAAAAAAATAACTTTCATGGTAAGAAATATAAGAGTCGGAAAAATCTTCACACTTCAGTGACAAAACGCTAAGGAGCATATCATGTGACCGCCTATATAACACTACCTGCTCATGTGCAGATCAGTTGCTGATGTGCATTAAAATCGGAGACGACTTCTTTGAAAAAAAAGTTCAACGCTGAAACCCGATAGCATTTTTTTTTTTAAAGTAACTCAATTAGTTCCCGAACTTTTGATCACTCCTCAGTTAGGTATGAGAAGAATGCATTTAAGATAAATAAAGACAATATAAAACACACAAATTGTATACAAATGAAATGACTAGCTTTAACAGAATAAAGAAGAAAACCAAAAAAAAAACCCTTTTTGTCTTTGGTATTAGAGGCATAGTTCCCGGGATTCATAACATTTTATTCTTAAAAAAATAGTATTGCATAAGATAATTCAATAAATAATTTGGAATGCATTCAAATTACAGAACTGGAAATTGAGAGAAGGGAGAGACCAAGTCGTGTTCGTAAACCTTTGTTTTCACAAAAAGAAGGTAGGAACTGCATATCTAATTTGAAACCATAACAAAATACCATGAAGTTCATTGAACATGCAAACATGCAATAAGAAAGATCATCAGAAGCAAGGATAAAAAGTAATGAATTTTATTACCCCTGCTTTGAGGAAGAGGGTTTGGGATGGGGTGTAAAAAAACCAGAAGAAATGCAATGCTACAAAATTTATTTAGTTATCAGACTGTTTGATAAGTATAAAAATCGATTTATCTACCACACACAGGAATTTTGAGGAACACAATTGTCACTTGCTTTGTAGACTCATTACTTAAATGTGATTAATTCTAAGATTAGAAGCCCGTCTAATTACTTCCAACAGGATTATCCATATCCATATTTTTGGATCTTTTGTCCAAAACCTTCCAAGAATGCGTTTAAAAATGAAAATCAAAGAAAATATGGTTACCAAACCCTTGAATTAATAATTAAATTGAAATTATTTGAAATACTTATTGATTAGTTTATTCATACATGTTTTGAACAAATTTCCAAAAGAGGCTTTAATCTCTCTGTACAACAATTGTCAGTCTACATTGTCCATTTGGAATTCAATCCTTAAGTACTTACATTGTATATAAATTTTTATAGTAACTGGATGTCAGAAAGACAGTTTCAAAGTACAGTAAAATGAGCCCCAAAACATGTATAAATGCATATCAACAAAACTCTATTTCTCAAAACAAATAAACAAAACTGTCCGGGATATTTTCGCTCCATTATATATTTTAAAATACATACATGTACCATTTTCTATTTTGTAAAGATATATTTCTTTTGTGAGCGGTGCGACTCATAGAGATCTTGTTTTAATTGGTGCGTGAGATCGCGAGTATTTAACACAGAATTGAGAGCAAAGGACAGAAAATAGCATATTTTCTATGAAAAAATTTCCTTGGTATAAATTTGATAACATCTTTCCTTTCAGCAACAATTGGTTTTGAGAATATAAATAGATACAGTGTATGGGAAACCTCAGCTTCAAGTAAGAAAGAGCTCCATACAGTTATTTTTTAATTTCGTTTAATGTTTGAATCAAGTGTGTAATTTTTTTTAATTTTTTTTTCTTTTAGAATTTATCTTTATGTCATGCTTATATACTTGTTTATTAAGGCTTTTCTGTAGAATTACTAAGTTTCGAATCCATAGTTTTTATGAGAAACCTTGTGTAGTAGATTAATACTTTCTCCTGATCCAGACCCTACCCCCTCTTGGCCGTTTTGCTTTAGAGTGATATTTCCTTGGTGGACCTACTTTACCACTATTTTGCCACTACATGTAAATTCAAACTACTTCCGAAGTAGGTCTTCTCCTTTATTTAATTTTGATTTATAAAGTGATAGAATCACTCTGTAGACATCTTTGAACTTATCAAAACTATTACAACAGTGTATTATTGTCCCTTAATGCTACTAAAATATCAATTAAAATGTATTTATGGTAAAAATAACAATGTGTAAAATTAATCAGTTGCAAACATTTGATAATAAAACAGACGAATTTAAAGAGATTAATTCGTTTGTCATATATGACATCATTTGTCTTGACTTGACGCATTTACATGATCTAGAGAAGTGTATGAATTTGTATAATAATCACGAAGGTGCTCTGTTAATTAAATAAAGATCGCAAATCTTTAAATTGAATAATTAAAACCGAAATAAGAGTTTTAAAATACTCCAGTCTAAAATTATTTTATCAAACCTGATAAAACCACAAAATGTCAAAGAATGTAAAAGAAAAACACTAACCATAATCCCGATAAACCTGCTTTATATGACATACTCTGTTTATGCTGACAGATGAAAAATCAATTAGTTATATCATGTACGTTCTAAAACGTACTGGGAAGTGATTCTGCTCTTAAAATATTCTTTTCTAAATTCAAAACGACGTAGAGAAGAAACGATTTTTTTTTTGTTACAGGCATTGTAGGCAAAATTACGAGCAATAATCCCCAAAAATACAATTAAGCGCCAAGCACATTTCGAGTAAGGGATGTCAAAAGAATTTTCCAAATCACCCATTCTAATTTTATTTTGATAAGAGGTACGTAACACATAGACGATTCATGCCATGTAAATGGTACTTACCACGACACAAACCTATTCATTATACACAACTACACAACCAACTATATTAATTTTCCAACAGTTTTGTAGTTAAACATGTACTATTTTACAGTGAATATTACATGTAAGCCGTGTTGAAAATGCAGCACAATCACATTTTGCATTTCCGTCTTTATCATAGTTGAGTCTTCGCAAATTCAATCTACACTACCTGAGGATGCTCTTATATAAATATGACCAATCACTACTGCGCTGTTTTGAGAAGATTTTTTAAGATTATTCCTATATATTCCTATGTGAAACTTTGATCGTCCCTCCAGGCCCCGCCTTACCCCCGGGGTCATATTTGAACAAACGTGAATGTTCACTACCCGAGCATACTTTCATATAAGTATGAACAATCATGGCCTTGTTGTTCTTGATATGAAGATTTCGAAAAAAATTTTCTATATATTTCTATGTAAAACTTTGATCGTTCATTGTGGCTCTCACCTACTTCAGGGGGTCAGGATATGAACAAACTTGTACCTACACTACCTCGGTATGTTCTCATATAAATATTACCAATCATGGCTTTGCTGTTCTTGATTGATTGATAGATTAAGAATTGTTCACTCATATCCAGACGTCACCGTATGCCGGTGAGGGCTTCAAATTTTGACCTTTACTCGGCACTCAGGGCCTTTGAGCAGTGAGGGATCTTTATCGTGCCAACGCCTGCCGCTGACACGGGGCCTCGGTTTTTAAGGTCTCATCCGAAGGACCCGCAACTTTCACTTCAAAGTGCCGAGCGGCCCTTCATTAGAACAAACTTTAATGCCCTTCATCCAAGGATGCTTTGTGGTAAGTTTGGTTAAAATTGATCAAGTGGTTCTGGAGAAGTCGAAAATGTAAAATGTTTACAGACACACAATAAGACGGACTACAGACAAAATGTGCTCAGAAAAGCTCACTTGAGTTTTCAGGTCAGGTGATCTAAAAATAAGACATGTTTTATCATTATCATATATTATATGTTAAAAAAAAAAATAATTATTACACGCTGGGAGCAAGCCCCTGTGTAATAGTTTAATATTTGCTCATCCAATAATAAGTTTGTTTAAACACTTGTCATTAAAATTATTTTTATCCATGAACACAGAATATTCAATACTTTTTAAAAAAGAAGGTATTTATTTTTCTTTCATGTGTGGAAAGAAACCTTCCGTTACAGAATTTATAGGAATATAGATAGGGTCATGTTCTCATGAAAAAATTTTCCAATTAAGTCTGGGTTTTTTTAGGGGGTAGGGGATTACCGGTATAAAAATGCTTAGTTATCAAAGAGTGACTATTACATCATGATTAATTTGAATTAATTCGTGGGTAAATGTCAGTATTTTTTTTAAATAATGCAGCGGTAAGTATCTGTCAAAATATTGTTGGTCTTCATCAATGATTGTTATTTCAAAATCGATTTTCAGAAGAACAGCCGGTCAGATTAAACATGATATCCGACCAGATTTATACAAGGGTAAGATTAAAGAATGAACAATATGTCGACTAGTGAGACAATAGACCTTTGCCCGAAAGTCCCCAGTCAGCTCACAGCAAGCTATACATACACAACATACAGTGACAGATTTCGATAATCAATTATTTTTACAAAACTTGAATCTGACGGAAGCACATAACAAATTAAAAATTAAAGATTCCTAGTATAAGGACAATAATTTTGATACCCATTATGATACAAAAATGATTAAAACTGAAGAATTGATGATATTTTAAAAACGTGATGTAAACGTAAGTTTCAAGCACTGATTGTTACTAAATTTTAGGCGCATAAACCGTTTATATTGAAAAGAACTAGGATCTAATTTTGTTTTCATCTTTCTTCTCGATGATTTTTAGTTTATCTATGATAAAGAGGTAGGTTTACTCACTCCATAAAATGGCCCTTTCATTAATTATACCAATAAAACTGACCAGGCCCTTGTGTCCCATTTCGAACATCAACATAATGTGGAGACTTAGTTCTTTCATTTCCTTTAAAAATGTTCTTCTGAGAGTCCATGTTTTGATACTCAGGCTATGTGAAACTACATATTCTTGAATTTTGAAGAAAATGAATGAATCGAGCATCTTCAACTATTGATTAGAATAACAGCTTACCCCTCGATCCAAAAACTGCTTGATGGATTAGAATTCTTCGAGACAGTTCTTTCATTACAGTTAAACATTTTAGATCAGAGGTTCAGGGTATGCAAAAATATTCAAAAACGGCTTGAAATTTTGGCCATTTTAAACGAAATTTTCAGAAATTGAGGAAATGACGCAATTCATGACGTCTTAATCCATGGACAATAGAAAAAATTACGTCTTTTTTATTTGATATAAAGTCATCAAGTGTCCATGCAGTACTGTTAAAGATTCCGATAGCTTAAAATGCGTTTAAAACGTAATACTGCAATGAAAGGTTTTTTTTTATTTTTTAAAGTTATATACACATTACCTAAATCCGGACAATTCATATAGAAAATCCCCTAGGCTATATATAAACATATATGTTACGATATCACATGACCTCGTTGAGAAAATGACGGTCATTTTTACCTTTTTGAAGTGCTTCACATAAATTGCTTCGATAAAACCCTATAACACAATTATTTATAACTTTTGTCATGTAAATAAATTCGTTGCATCCTTCAGAACATGAAATGTGCTTGGAAAAAGTTATAATAATACTACAGTATAAAATATTTCACATTAACTTCAACTCACCGACAGATCTGAGGATATTTTCCACTCATTGTCGCATATCTGCGTTGATTTTCTTGGATCTTTCAGTGGTGTTATATCCCATATCACATATGCGATACTAGTAAACTTTCCACGCCCCTCCATATATCACTGCAGGAGGCAGCAATCAGGTTATGAGAAAAACTTATTTTATTTCACAAGTTCATATGAACATGTGTAGCTATTTCTTAGCATTTAACTAAATTAAAATCCATGAATACATATGCAATCTCAGTTGAAAGATCCCAGTCGTTCAAAAGATAAATCCATTTTGAAAGTTATGGTAAAATATCCAAACTTTATATCGTTAAACTCCTTGATATTTGTTTCTGTGATTTCATATTTGTTGAGTGCCTGGCTCAAAGATAAATCGATCGTCAAAATCTTCAAACTCAGTTAAAAAGTCAAAGTCAAATTCACTAAGAACGTCCGACATGTTGAGAGGTAGCTTGAAATGAATCTTAAGTTCATGACATGCTGAATATTTTTTCTATTGAATTTTGACACTCTCAATGAAATTTACGTCATCAGACATGCGACAAGTTGCTTAAATCATAGATGCCTCGTACTATTGGTTATATTGTTTTCATGAAGCGTGGAAATCTCGGGCGCTACGCGCCCTTGATTTATTGATTTCCACGCCCCATGAAAACGATGTAATCAATACTACTCGGCTTCTATGATGTACAGCACAGACCGGACACAACCTAACAGAAAGCGAACCCGGAGCGGACCTCGGGTTAGCTCTCTGGGTCCGCTCTGGGTTTGCTCTGGGTCCGCTAGGGTTTACCAAGAGCGAACCCGGAGCGGACCCCAAGCGAACACGAAGCAGACCCAGAGAGCGAACCCCAAATTCAGTAGCGGTCCCAGAGAGCGAACGCGCGTTCGGTATTTCTTTACAGAGCTGTCAATCAGGATTAGCGATTAACCAATCAGTGCATCAACCAATCAAAATAGCATATTGATCTGTCGATTTGGATATAAGATCGAACGTGTTGATTTACTTCGATATAAATCCAAACACTGTTCAAACAAGCAAAACTTGTGAATGTGCTGTGTAAATCTAATATGATAATTAAAATATTATCTAATATTTATTTATTTTAATTATCCTGGTTGTATTTTATATTTA